TAAGCAAAGCACTCCTTAAGAATAGAAGAACGGTAGGAGGTATCTCACTCCCTGATTTCAAATCCTACTACACTGCCGTAGTGGTAAAGACAGCGTGGTACTGGTACAATGACAGACACATTGATCAATGGAATTGAATTGAGAATCCAGAGATCAACCCATCTATCTATGGTCAACTGATCTTTGGCAAGGAGCATCACCATTTAATGACGTAGGGAGCACCAAATGTCTGCCATCGGCACCACCCACAAGGGAAGCTAGGAGTTAGAGGTCCTACCTCTAGTCATTCCACAAACTGGCTGTGCCCTCAATTTCCTCATCAGTAAACCCAGGGAGTCAGAACTGACTCATAGCTGACCCTCCAGTTGGTTTTCAGATTGTAAGTCACACTGGAGGAAATTGCCTTTCTCTGTGGAATGCCTTTGGGTTGGCAGCACAACTCCTTAACTTCTAGTGTCATTTATTGATAGAGTTCGTTTCCAGAGACCAGGTCATTATGTACAAACCATCATTATGTGAAATTTCATACACTAAATGTTCCTCGGGAGCTCTGGTGGCAAGAAGCTGTGCTGCAATCCTGAAGGCACTGGGTTCGAGACCACAAGGTGCTCCACAGAAGAAAGATGGGCAATGTCCTCTCATGTGATTAACTGCCTCTGAAAATCCACTGAAGGGTCAGCTATGGGTTGGTTCCAACTCAAAGGTACACAACATCAACAACAGCAACAAACCGGGGGTACAAGCTCAGAGTCCGACCTTACCCTGATGAACTCTGGCCCGTGGCTTTGTGAGTCAAAAGGCAGTTCTGGGGCTACCGGTTTCCGCCATGGGCACTGTCACTGTGCCGGCTGCAAGCTGTCCTCCCCAAAGGAGCGAGCTAATGTGAGATAACCCCGGGCAGGGAAGGTTCTCCCAAATTCAAAGAGAATCATGAGGGGTTTTTTGATGGATTTTTCCCCCCTTTAGCTGGAACCAGTGGGCCATAAGACCACCTCTAACAACTTCACCTACAGCCGGACCAAACTCAAGTGTCCCACTCCTGTGAGTAAATGTCTCTGCCTTCTCCTCTCTGTCCACTGGGGCAGAAGTGGAGGGGCTGGGAATGCCACCATGTGGTCATGTGGAGGGGTGCTCTGGGGGACTTTGTCCCTGGCAGCTGCATTCTTCATCCCTGTTCTCAAATCTCACCTCTCTCCTTACCACCGAAACCTCACAATTCCTCAAGGAGCAGACAGTCATGGGCTGAAGGGAGGGAGAAGTCAACAGCTCTAGTTGAAGTGAGAAGAGTTGCTCAGACAAGACTGACTAGCCAGCACTGCTTAAAAACCTGAGTCAGAATCGCTTCTTAGGGATCTGACCCATTGCCGTCTTAGACATGCATGGGGCCGCTTTCCTAGGATGAGCACTGTGCTAGGAGCTGAGGCTCAGGAGACCATGATGAATGTCCTTTATCACTGCTTGCAACCCTCCTCCTCCTTTCTCACCACACTGCCACCCCCCTGGGGGAGCCCACACGGCTTTCACCCGGGGCACTGGCCATGCCCCTGTCCTGTCTCCCAACTCACTCTCCCCTCACCCTCCTCCATCCATCCTATGGATACTAGAAAGTAATTCCAGTCTCCTCACAGCTGCTTGGACTCCCTCCCTGGTCCTCGCTCCCAGGGGGAAAGGCCACCTCTTCCTACTTTCTTTTAAACGCTCTATACTTTTTGCAAATGGACCAGTTTTCTGACAAGCCCCACACTTGCCTGTATCTATGCTCTGGCTGCTGCTCTTAAAGCATCACTGTCACCCTCTCTGCCAGTGGAAATGTCCACATTCCCCAAAACGCAGCTGTTTCCCTCCTTGGGATCCACCTTACATCTTCCCTGGGATCCAGCCTGTGCTTCTGTCTTTTTTTTCTCTTTGTACTTCTCAGAAGACCCCGATTCCTTCTCCGTTATGATGGGATTGTTTCTGTGTCTTATCTCCCTACTGGGCAATGAGAGGCCATTCCTCATCTTTTTTTTCCCTGTTTCTTTTTTTTTAATTATTATTAGATTTTATTAGTTTTAATGAACATTTACAGAGATTTTGGGTTTTCATTCATTCATAGTTGCAAAAATATGGAACGCTTCATGAATTTGCATGTCACCCTTGCGCAGGGGCCATGCTAATCTTCTCTGTATTGTTCCAATTTTAGTATATGTGCTGCTGAAGCGAGCACACCATTCCTCATCTTAACCCTCCATTGCTTATCTCCACATGTAGCACAGGGCTCAGTGACCAGGCACCCAAATAATCCCCACTGAGTATAAGAAAGCAGAAAGGTGAGGAGAAGGGAAGACTCGAGGGACCCACATGTCTCCTCCCTCCGCCCTTCTTGTACTTGGTCCTTTAATCTACTCCAGAACCAACCATCCTTCCACATGCACCTTTCCAGCTCCCCGAGTCCTCCTGGATTGAGAGTAGTTGTCCAGGGGGGATTGAGAGGAAACAGGTGGAACCCTATCTGGCTGCCTAGGCCCTTCTTCACGGCTCACCTCTTAGTCCCCCAGTTTGGAATCCAATCTTTCTAATTGGACAGACAGAAAAGGTGATGCTATCAAGTAACTAAACTGCTTTGGATACGCATCCTCCCTGAGAAGACTTGGGCACAGAATGAAGGACCGTGCCTTATGCCAGGGAAGGGCTGTGGAGATGTGCAAGGTCCATGCACTCCCTTGGGGGTGGGGACAGACGGCTCTGGGTCCTTACACTCTGACTCTTCTTCTGCCCCTCCACAGGAGCACCCCTACTTCTACACACTGAGGAACAGTCAGCTTCTTCCAGACCAGGCTGAAGAAACCTCCAATGTGCTCAGCTGGGCGATCCCAGTAGCAGCCATCCTTGGTATTGTGTTTGGGGTCGGCATGGCAATGGTGTGGAGAGCCATACGAAGTCGCTAGAGGGAAGAGCTGCAAATGAGCCAGCCCTCTGTGGGCCTCTCAGCACGCGGGCTCTTGGCCTCGACCCCCCAGCCACACTCCTCACCAGCTCACCCGCTACCTCAGCCACATCAGAGAGCACTTCATTCCTTGCCTGGTGTCCACAGGAAGTCAAATGGGATTGTCATGACTCCCTGGAGCCTGGGGCCTACACTCCTAAATGTGATTAATTTAAATAAAGGCTAAAAGCTATTCGATTCTTGGATTAGCCCGCTTTAAGCCCTTGCTTTCCATCTACTGTGAAGCTCAGACGTGGGACCTGGATGCCTTTTGCATCCAGTGTCAGTGAGCACTGCCTGAGTGATGGCAAGTCAGAGAAGAAACTCAGCCGGCAGGCCCCCCTCAGCACCACGGAGAGGGCATCCTCACTTACCAAGGCTACTATTTCAGAGGTAGCAAATGTAACTAGTCACCAAGTGGTAGCTAGAAATTTGGAAAGTTTCCATTTAATCCAACCAAGACTTGCTAAGCACCTGTTTCACACCCAGCACAGGGAAGGGCTTTGTGTCACTGCACGGGCTGTGGCTGCTGTGGTTTTACTGGGATGATGAATGCCTTCAAAACACTAGGAGCTGCGTGACGGTGTGTAATTGTCAGGCTGTGGCAGCAAACGTGTTGATGGCTTTAGAGAATAGGAGTTCCTTGGAAAAAGTTTCCTAGGAGTAAGCAATTTTTAAGTGACATATGAAATAATAATAATAATAGGGACTGGTCATGAATACCTCAGATAGCCTCCACCTAATTTTCCCAAGGTGCTAAACCCAAGAAAGAATTCCTTTTTAATATGTCACCACACTTCTGAGAGCAAGATGGACAGAGTCCGATGCCATAATCCAGGCTGTCATTCACTCAGCACTTTAAGGAACAAGGCCCCAAGTTACATGCCTTACACAACAGAGTCGCTCCTTAATTCCTCTCAGTAACTCGGAGAGGCAGAGGGGTTATCATTGTAGTTACCTCTGTGGTCCCCAAACCTTGCATGAACATCAAAGACCTATGTTATCACCCCAGACACTGTTGGCGGTTCTCAAGTCAATTCCAACTCTAGCATCTCATACAACTGAGTAGAGCCACCCCGTTGGGTTCCCTGGGCTGTATGGGCGCATTTACCAGGTCCTTCCTCCCACAGAGCTGCTGGTGCGTTCAAACTTTGAGTGAACTGCCAAGCACTTAACCATTGCACTAGAATCACGTGACTTTTAAGGTAAAGCCCTTCCTCAGCCTGAGTCCTGGTTTCTCATCAATCATCCTTATCTATAGGACTGGACTACTTGTACCTATTTTGTCTATCTCATGACAATAAATAAGAAACTACATATTATACAACTTTTATATATTTGCACATAATGGCATATGTTTTTAAAGTGCTTCACATATGATGTAGTTGTTTGTTCCTCTGTGGGGAGTCAGCATGGAGCCAGATTTCTGGAACAAATGAGCAGTCCCGCAGTGGAGTTAGAAACTGGGGCAGCCGAGTGTGGCCTGAATGCCTGCCTTCCTATCTCTTGAAATGGTCCACCAGCTGAACTTTTCCTGGTACAACAAATAGAGGACAGAGAGAACCTACGTGCAGCGCAGGCAGGCATTCTTCTGGGTTTCAGTTACTGTTTCTGTATAATGGGCCTGCACCCACTTCCTTCTATGAGCTCAAGAGTGTGCTGACTAAACCACAGGTACCCTGAAGAACCTCCACCAGGCCAACTTGCTGCTCTGACTTAAGAAAGTGTAACAATATAGCAAATTCATTCAATCTAAGAGTTCAATCTTTTATTTATTTGGTAGGTTGATTTCATTCTTCAAGCTACTATTCCTCTAGTCAATCCTACTTTTAAAAACCTTGGGATTCAGGCTCACCCATGTTTATTGCGGCTTTGTTCACAATAGCAAGGAGTTGGAAACCACCTAAGTGCCCATCAACAAACGAATGGATAGAGAAGCTGTGGTATATTCACACAACTGAATACTATGCTGCATTGATAAACAAGGAACTCATGCAATATTATTCAAAATGGGTGACCGTGGAGGACATTATGCTGAGTGAAGTATTTCAGTCACAAAAGGACAAATACTCCATAGTGCCACTGTTGTAAAACAGGACTGACATCGGGGTTGGGGGGAAACAGAGAGATGGGATAAATAATGTATATTGCATAGAAACAGATGCGGGAGAAAACTGTTTAAAAGGGATATTTGATTAGATATTCTTGTCATGACAGGAGTCCAGAGCGAAGGCTGCATAGTGGAGTGGACCTGCGGGGAGGGATTGTAAAACTATAAAAGAACTTTTCTTTTACTTCTCCAAGAGGGTAGTGTACTAGGGGGGAGAGTTGGGAGGGGAGAAAAGTGCAACAATTAATGAACGGAAATCCAAAGTCTCTGTAAATTTTCATTGAAATTAGTAATATTTTTTTTAAAAATGCAAAAAAAAATAAGAAATGCAAAAAAACCTTGGGATTCATAACCACAAGACTATCCTTACTTGCTGATATTAGTTTGAAGACTAAGATGCACCTGATTCAGACCATGATTATTTTTTAATCACTTACTGTGAAAACTAGGCCGGGGGCTGATTGTGGAACAGACCACCAATTACTCATATGCAAGTTCAAGCTGAAGCTGAGGAAAATTAAACCA